CCCTCCCCCCCCCCCCCCTCCCCGCCCCGACGGGTTCGGCAGACGACAGACGACGCAATCTGTGACTAAGCCTGTAGTGAATAGCGGTGCACTTCATAGCACCCTGTGACCAGCTTATTTGAGATACATTGGCACGTATTGGCAGCTTGTTCTGCGCTGTCACGATTTTTCTGCCTCATCACAATGGATTGGCGTGCGAGTAGTGATTGTTCCGTTTGCGCTGTTACCTTCCGAGGGTTGGTGGCCCCGCCCGGCTTTTTTCTTTCTTTTAAGCCATCCCAGTGTTTCGCACTATGGCCCAGATAACATTCCAAATATAGTTTGCCGCAGATATCCATAATCATTCACCCCAGTGGAGCGGTTGCAGTTCGCTGGCTGTTGATGGCGAGCGATTGTAATGCCCCACGTGTTGTGATGACCCGGCCGACCGCCGTCGTCGCCACTGTCCTGACCGGTCTCCAGTGGCCTGAGCAGGCGGGCGCCGTCAGCGCCGCCGCTGTCAGTGCGAGACGCTCCAGCAGCTGAGCCGCGTGGTGGCGGTTGTGGACCGTGGAGCCACCGCGTCCACTGTCGGCCCCGCGCGGCTCCAGAGTGACCTGACCTGACCTGAGGGCCGTCCGTCCTCAGGCTGCCCCTGTCCCCGGATGCGGACCTGTCGGCGGCGCTGGCGCGCCTGCCGCAGGTGGTGACGGGCGCCGACGTGTACGCCCTCTGCGAGCAGGCCCCGCGCGGCTCCAGTGTGACACCTGACCTGACCTGAGGGCCGTCCGTCCTCAGGCTGCCTCTGTCCCCGGATGTGGACCTGTCGGCGGTGGTGGCGCGCCTGCCGCAGGTGGTGACGGGCGCCGACGTGTACGCCCTCTGCGAGCAGGCCACGCGCGCCGCCCTCGAGCGGGCCGTCCAGATGGTGGAGCGAGGTACGCCGGCCGATGGCTGGGTCGGGCCGGGCTGGCCGCGTGCCGACAGTCTGCGGCGCTTGTCCCGGATAAACAGGATGCGGCCACATGAGGCCCTCGTAGTGTGGTAATGTCGTCACCGACAGTAGGCGTGTTTTTATTCCCTGTTATTTACCGTCGTGCTAGAAAAATAAACCAATGGAACACAAGTTGTACGAATGTTCGTTTTCGTGCGTTTGTTCGCCGGCTTTTTGGTAAAGAATAGTAAATTCAGGGATCTAATGTAGGTCGGCGACGAAAATTTTACACATAATGCTCTCAGGTTATCGTTCCAGGGCTGTGTACATTGAGACTTTATATCTATGATATATGTGATTAGCATGGTCAACTACCTTATCGGCAATTTTTCATGCCACAAATCATTCCCTGCACGAAAGGCTGGTAGAACTAACACCGTTTTAATTGTGCAGGCGGATGTTTGCCTATTTCTAAAGAACGGCCCTATATCGGGGACCACTGTTTGCGATGCACTGGCAGATAGCGCCGGGCGGCCAATAAACGCCGTTGTGTCGGCGCTGTCGACGTGCGCCTCCCTCCAGGTGAAGCTACGCAGGAGGCGGCCCCCATCCAGCTGCTGCAGTCGGACCTGCTGGAGGCTGCCGCCGGGCTGGCGCCCTCGCTGGGGCCGGACCAGCTGCGCCAGTACCAGCTGCTGCGCCAGACCATCGAGGGAGGGCGCTGAGCTGCTGGGGCGTCAGTGTCAGTTGCTGCGCCAGTGTCCGCCGCTGCGCCAGTGTCAGCCTGTGCGCCAGTGTCAGCTCCTGCGCCAGTGTCAGCCGGTGCGCCAGTGTCAGCTCCTGCGCCAGTGTCAACCGGTGCTCCGGTGTCAGCCGGTGCGCCGGTGTCAGCTCCTGCGCCAGTGTCAGCCGGTGCGCCAGTGTCAGCTCCTGCACTAATGTCAGCCGGTGCGCCAGTGTCAACCTGGTGCGCCAGTGTCAGCCGGTGCGCCGGTGTCAGCTCTTGCGCCAGTGTCAGCCGGTGCGCCAATGTTAGCTCCTGCGCTAATGTCAGCCGGTGCGCCAGTGTCAACCGGTGCGCCAGTGTCAACCGGTGCGCCAGTGTCAGCCGGTGCGCCGGTGTCAGCTCCTGCGCCTGCCGATCCCGGGCACCGTATGACTGCTCAGAGCGTGGCGTGGCACGAAAGTGGCCTCCGAGCTCCAGGCGTCGCACATTACGGCACCGAAGTCCCGTCTGCCGGGAGCCGGGAACCGGGAGCCGGGAGCCGGGAGCCGGGAGCCGGGAGCGGGAGCTGCTGCGGGGCTGGGAGGACGCTGCCCGGTCTGGTGACTGCTGACCTGATGCTGGGTGGGCTGCTGAGCCGGGAGCGGGAGCTGCTGCGGGGCTGGGAGGACGCTGCCCGGTTTGGTGACTGCTGACCTGATGCTGGGTGGGCTGCGGAGCCGGGAGCGGGAGCTGCTGCGGGGCTGGGAGGACGCCTGCCCGGTCTGGTGACTGCTGACCTGATGCTGGGTGGGCTGCTGAGCCGCCTCGGTGGAGACGCGGGAGACTGGCGCCGGCAGGCGGGACGAGCCCGGCCCAGATGTAATGACGTCATTGCTCCGTATTGTCCCTGTTTGGACTAAACGCTGCTCACCGGTGTGTTTATACGCATATGCAGCTGGGCTGGTAACGAGCGCGGTACACGGGCTTGTAGTCTAGCTAATTTTGGCGGATCTTGAAACATATCCCATTGTCGTTATGTTTTGGGAAGTCGTAACCTCTATGCAATCCTACTGAACACATGTACGCTCGCGACATTAAGGGTGTGTGTTACGGGTGTTCGGAGGGGAATATGGACAGTATGTGTTCCGTTCGTCGGCTCATGGCGTTCCGGAAAGCTGGCTGTAGGTCGGTAGGGAAATGGAAAGCAGTAGCGTCGCTGAAGAGCAGTGGACATCTGCTTTTGGGTGGATGGAGGGTGGAGCGGAGCTCTAAGCACCGGGAACTGTCGGTTATTGGTCGGTGGACCTTTCAGGTTTCCAGAATTGCCGCCTTATCAAACTAGAAGGATAGTGGGTTATTTCTTGTGTTGTCTGTATCGGACATTTCCAAAGTACTTTCCTCCTGTAATGAGCCCTGCATGTCAACCACTTTCCGATTGTGTCGTTGCGAGATTGGATTGAGGGGGATAAAAGCACTGAGCAATAGAAAAAGTCCAGGGACGCCAAGCCACATGAGGGGCGACGCAACAGGATCCTTTGAGCGAGCGAGCGAGTGACAGGCATCGCATGTACTTTCCAAGACGCTGCCAGTTGTAAAATCGTTCGATTGCATTGTCCTTCAAGCAGAGGTCGGACTCATTTCTTGCCAGAAGACCAGTCAGTCAGCCTTCATTGTCCCACTTATACGATGGACAGCTGAGCTGGAATGCCGGCCAGAGCGCGGCGGGCTCAGGCATACGCAGCTTGCAGAGACCGAAGCCTAATTTGGGTCTGTTGGGTAAGCTGCCGGTCTTGATACGCCTTGCAGACTCGGTTGCGTGTGATATTGTTGTGGCACTGTGCAGTTACCTCCGCCCCAAGCCCGGGACGCCTACCGTGGTCTGGCGCCCTCGGTAGGTGAATCCAGCCTCGTGCCATGAATCCTACCGTTCATGCGGCCCTCCGTTAGCAGCCGTACGGTAGTTTTTGGATGTCATGGTTTAGTCATCGCACAGACTTTGTACCGTTTTAGTGCATGTTTGGGACATGTGTATCAATAAACAACGAATGGTAATCACTTTATATGTTTACCAAGGCTATGAGACGTTCCCCAGTTTCTGGTCCGATGGGTATGTGACGAACACATTACAAAGTGTGCCTGGCGCCGAGTATTTACAAATATTGCCAGAAAAGCAATGGCTCGTAACGTGATTTGGGGAACTCTCAGCTTCCATTAGCGCCTGTGTTTGAACTCAAGCAAGATATGCGAGCGGTGGCTGTTCCAATAGCGCATAGTTTCAGACGGACGCGTGACTCACCGCTGTCACGTGGAGACGATCTACGTCCGCTCAGACAGCTGCGGATGAGAACACGCCCTGGAGCCATACCTGGCAGGGCGACTGAGCGCCGTAGATCCGCAGACGTTCTGCAATAGCGTGCGTTTGTCCCAAGCTGTTTTTCCATGTTTCGCAGTGCTGCGTGGACTGGAATAGCTCCTGACCTTGACGCTGCGTGGTTCAGAAACGGCTGCCACATATCTGATTTTTCCATGGTCATCCATATTTCGATGTAGGGTGACTGTATGAGGTCAGCCCCCCGCGTTAGCATTGGGCACGCAGCCCGGACAGCAAACGGCCGTAGCATTTCAGTCGCCTCATTCGTTACAACACATCGCACAGAATAGCCAACAATTGCTGGGCTACGTTCGCTCATCTCAAGGCGTTAATCACGGTTTGCGGCGACTGCAAGCGACGCCGGTGCCCACGGTCTGTGGCTGGGCGGAGGTCCATGGGGTGTGCCGCGCCGTTCACCTGTGAGGACGCCGGTGCCCACGGTCTGTGGCTGGGCGGAGGTCCATGGGGTGTGCTGCGCCGTTCACCTGTGACGTGTCCGGTCGACGGACCCCGTACCGGCCGGCCGGTCACGTGACCTGGCTCTGGCATGCTGACCGAGCCGGCGGGGCCTGGTCGGCCGACCCCGCTGGCCTCAGTGTGCACTGGACGAGATCAGCTTCAACCGAATCCATTACAAACTAGTTGATTTGAGGGAGCCGAGTCCGCGGGCAGACAGCCCCAGTGGCAACAGCTTGTGCCTCTTATATATGATCGGACGCGTAACTCAAAAAGCCAGAATCAGGGCCCGGTTTTCTATCATAAGGTTACACAAAGTTTTAACGCTGCGATGAGCTGCTCTTTATGTAGATGACATTCAGTACTGGTGGCCTTCATTACAACAAACGCATCAGCAGGCCGCTAGGACAGCCTTAAAGATGTGTGCATCAGCAAAATTTACTGCTTTTCTTCAGATCCTGTGCCGAGACAGCCGTCGTCACTGACCCATCTGCCGTAGACCAGAGCATCTCCCTGGCACAGGTCTCCTCCCTCTCTCGTGCCGCGACCGACTCTCGGCTGCAGCTCCTCGCAGCTCACCACAGGGGGCGCCACCGACCCTGCAGCTGCACAGGCGCGCCATCTCCGCCGGCGCTGACGCGTGCTGTCCGAGCCCGCGAATGTGGAGCGTCTTCGTGCGCGCGCGTCCGGCAGTGGCGCGCTCGGGCGGCGCGGGCCGCGGCGCGCCACCTCCCACGCGGCGGCGCGCCTCGTCCGCCGACCGCGCCCCCCGCGGGCGGCGAGGACGGCGCGTCGCCGGCCGCTCTGCGCCTCCTCGTGTCCGCCCATACGATTGACCCACTGCTGCGGGAGGCGCGGCACACATCCGCCGCGCGCCGGACGAGAGAGGGAGAGAGAGAAACAGGTGACTTTCACGGCCAGGGCGCCCGCGCGGCGGAGGCGTGGCCGCGGCTGGCGGCGGCGGCGGGCCGGCCGGTCGGACCGGTCGGCGCGGTGGGGACGCTCGCCCGAGCGGCGACACTCAGCCTTTGCGGGCGCGTCGGCGCCCAGCGGTATGGAGCTTGTCCCGCCCAGCCGGTATGAAGTGAAACGGAGACCGGTTTGTTTTGGGCCACTTACGCGAGCCCGTGGTCCGGAGTGCACCACGGGGGGGAGGCGGGCCACGGCTGAGCACATTCCAACGGACGTTTCCCTTTTGGTCGCGGCGCTCCCCGGCCGCTAGCATGTGCATGACTGCACGTAGTTGGCAGCAGTTGTTGAGTGAGGCCTGGCTTAGCTGAGTGGTGTAATGAAAGCACCCACGGGCCACGCCTGATGCTGAGAGAAACGGCGCCTTATAAGCGCACGAGTGCAATGGTGCATGCCGCCTGTTCTCCGTACTCACAGTTTCACATACCGACGGAGTAAGAGCCGGCGTAGCGTTGTCCACACCACGGCTTGTTCCGAGCCGCCCCACTGATGAAACCACGGGCGCGACCGCGCTGAGCACGGAACCCGACAACCAACTGTTATAGTTTGCAGGCCTTGAGGACCTGTGGGGAGAGGATCTCATATCGCATCTTGCTGTTGGGGGAGGTCTCCGATGATAATTCACATACGTCTGGCATCGAAGTCAGTTAACCTTCAGCCCGAAATCGCAGGCATGGCTCGTTTGCTCATCCATGAACCTCGTAATCGCCGGTATCAGGTTGACTAACATCTCGGCAATCTGTACGTTCCGTGGGCTGACCACTTGGTTAAACCGACAGGCTGCCATCTGTTGATGACATCGGTCCGTGTCACAAGCCGTCTGCAGTAGACGTCTTACTGCTGGGCGTATCTTGAGAAGTCTGGAGCCTTTCTAATTTTGAATCCTAGTTCAGCAGCTTTGAGCACCGCGCATCCTGCTGTCTAAAAGCTCCCTCTCAGTCGACCCCGAGCTTCTCTCTTCTCGAGCGTGCCCAGCGGGAGGTCAGCCAGCGCATAGACACCTACTCCCACTGCGGTAGCTCCTCCCGCCTGTCCTCCTAGTGCTGCTCCCTTTTCTCCCGCCCATACCCTCCTTGCCGTCCTGGGAGAGTTGCTGTCTTGCTATCCTTGTCGTGTTGTTCTGATGTCCCCTGGTCTTGCTGTTCCCGTCGTCTTGTCTTGACGCCGTCCTGTCTTCTTGTTATCCCTGCGATGTAGTCCTGAGGAGGATCGTTTAGTACAAAATAGTAGACGCACCTTTCCAGTCTGCTGCCCTATGGTAGGTCAAAGTCAGGCCATGGCCCTCAACGAAGGCCATTCCCAGGGCATCGTTTAATCTCATGTGTCAATTGAGTGTTAACAAAACCAGACATCTTTGACGTGGTTTCTTAGACATTTAGGCAATTAAATTTAGGATTGCGATTCATTCCATTCACCTTACGTCAGGTATGAAGGCTAGACTGAGGTCAAAACCACGCTGTTTATTTTACGGTAAACCTTGCCCGCCATGGTATCTTTACAATGATTTTGGATTTCTTCATCACAGAGACGTCAACAGATCTCTTATTTGGATTTCCCGTAGGACAGATAAGGTCACTGACCTAAAATGACCCCGATCAACCTTTCATTCTGATTAACATGCCGCCTAGCGTAATCCTTGACCTTCATTTGAGCATAAAAATTAAAACAACCTCGTAGGTTTTTGATGACCGCGACCTTCTGAAGGTAAAGTAAGGTCACTGACCTAAAATGAGCACCAGTGACTCTTGTCTTAGAAGTGGTTTAGTAGTAGCAGTAGAAAAGAAATAGTAGAAGTGGTTATGTTTAAGGTGGTTAAAAGGGTTTTGGACACTTCGGACACCGATCGGCAGTTTCGTCTTTTTCCCTTATTAGACTCAAGATCACGACTTGGGGGCCTCAAAATCGACACAAGTGAGCTCACATACAGGCCTAACTATTCTGTGAATTTGGTTTCTCTAGCCGCCGTATTTTGTGGATATCGGTGGCCAAATTCCCCCTTCCCTCACCCAAGCATGTCACATTCGACTGGCTACCCTGGCGTGTGAAGCTGGCAGCGCTCCACCGTTGTGTGGGGTTTAAAACTGCGATAGCTATTTTGAAGATTATTCTGTGCGGTTCACAGCCCTGTCCTTGTTGAGGCCTAAATCCATCAAGTTTTTGAGTTCCACTTCCGCGAAGATGTACACACTGTTTCGAGGGGACTATTTCAGGGTGACCCAGGCATCTATGACCGCATAATAACGTCATTCTAATCCATTCGCCACTTTATTAGCCGTGCGGCTATCAATTCCAAGGAAAAAATAATTGTGGAGTAGCTCATATCTGGCGTTCGTGAGCACGATCTCCAAATATAACGGCCATCCAGTGGCTCTCAATCGATGTTGTGTTGTGTAGGGTAAAGTGGGATGATTCGAGCACGCTGATAAGTTGATGAATCCCGCGTGTCTCCCCTCCCAAGACTGCATTGCTTCTGATTGGCCGCCGGATGATACGTCCGAGAATCGACGCGACGCGAACGGCGGCGGGCGGTGAACGCAGTCTGGGCATTCATATGATCTTTACCCATCTACGTAAGTATTTCCGAGAATGCACAGTGTTTCTGTTGTCTTTGATGTCGAAAATAACGCTTGTTCACTGACTCACGTGTATCTGGCCATGTCTCCTCCTAAGATCGTCATAGTTCTTACATGCTGAATTTGAAAATAAATCGTCAGCCATACTGTTCCATTTATCATGTTGCAGTGGGACAACTTGTTCCAAGAAAAACGTGGACAAGATGATCATGGCTCAACTTATCACACTACAGTGGCCGCACGCCAAAGGCTACGTGCATGGCTGGTGCCAGCACTTTCAATAAGCACAAGTGGGAATATTTTGTGATAACTTGGAGAGAGAGAGAGAGAGAGAGAGAGAGAGAGAGAGAGAGAGAGAGAGGAGAGAAGAGAGAGAGAGAGAGAGAGAGAGAGAGGAGAGAGAGATGGAGAGAGAGAGATAGAGAGAGAGAGAGCGAGAGAGGAGCAGAGAGAGAGAGGAGAGAGAGAGAGAGAGAGTCAGAAAAGCACCCATTCTCGTCTGAAGACCTCGACAGCGTTGATATGTTGGAGGTAGCCTCGGACGTAAAAGAGTGGTGACGAAAAATGCATCGAGGTGGGTGGCTGTATCACTTTCGCGGAAAGACAAGAGTCGTGCACGCTGACTTGTGCAGCCAACGTTGTGGAAAATTATGTCACACCACTCATCATCTTTCCTAGA